CCAGGTGTCGTCGTCGTCGTCGTCATCATCGTTGTCGTCGTTGTTCATGGTCGTCACCGTCCTGCTTCCTCTCCTCTTTCCTCTTCCCCCTGAGCAATTACTCATTATCTAATGGCCCTCGGCCCATCCCGCCACCCTGCCTGGGTTGTAGGTCATAGGCCTCTAGGATGCTCGTTGGGATGTCGAGGGAGGCCTCTCGGGGGCCTCGTGGAGGCAGTTTGTTTTTTTTGGGTCGGGGCCTATTGGGGTTCTCTTGTGGTATCTTATTGGAAAACTGGGATTTTCCACTTCGTGTCCCCTCGCTTGGACCCTTCTTGGGGCTGTTTTTGGGCCCTCTTGAGCTGCCTTGAGCGCCTCTGGGGTCGTTCTGGGGTCCTCTTGGGCCGTGTCGTGGCCCTCCTGGGGGCCGCTTGGGCTCTTTGGGCGGTCCTGGGGGCCTCTTGGGCCGTCTTGGAGCGTCGGGAGCTTGAAAAGGCGAGATCGCCAAAATCCTTCAAAAACATTGGAACTCAATGATTTTGGCCTCTCGGGGCCCTCTTGGGAAGGCTCTTGGGGCTTTCTTGCGGCGTCTCGGAGGTTTCTTGGGCCATCTTGAGGTCATCGTGGGTTTCTTGGTGCGGTCTTGGGGTGTCTCGGGGCCCTCTTGGACCGTCTTGGGAGCCTCCTGGGGCTCTCTTGGGTCGGAGCCCAGGGGAACAGCGCCAAGCCCAAGACGATTTGAAGATTGGGATCCAGGCCCTTGACAGACCCTTCAGGAGTGAAGACTGAGGTTGAGATTGGAATTCCAGGGCCGCTATGACAAGCGTCCCTAGATAGAGAATCATCAGCGCCAGGGGCATGGATGGGTGGGAGGGGTAGGATGTGAGACATGGCTCGAGCGCGCCGAGCTTGTCCTCCATCCTTACATCTTATGATTAAACACCCCCAACCCCCCACCTAGCCGGCCGATAGCAACCCCGCCGTCCTACCTGTCACAACAACACACACTCAATTTCTGATCGCCAGCATGTCGTCGAGTTGCGAAACATGTAGCAGGAATGGGACGGAATGAACATCGCTTGGGGGCCCTAAGCGGGTGGTCGCGTCCTACCTATAAAAAACAATACACGGTCAACGTTTTTCTCGACACCATGGACTTTCTTGTCGTCGACGCTGCGAAAAGTGTAGCAGGAATGGGGCGCGGCGCACATCGCGCGGGGACGCTTGGCCAGCCCTACGCGGGACCCCCCGTCCTACCTGCCCAAAAACATAGCAACGACGACGTTGTTCTTGCCACCATCTATTTTCTCGTCGTCGGCGCTGCGAATCGCGTTGCGGGAATTGTTTCTGGTCGACGTTGCTCAGTACGCGGCTGGAATAGGACGCAGCTCAGGTCGCGCGCTGAACGTCTAGCCGCCCGCGGTATAAGATGAGCGACATGCGTCGGACGCGACGCACTTGCTTCTTATGTTGTGGGAGGGCGGGTGGGAGTGGACGGAACCCTCTGGCTCGGTCGAGCTGGCTAACTTTACCTCTCTCCCACCCCCCTTCCCCTCCTCCCTCCGACTCCCTTTCCTCCTCTCCCGTTACCTCCCCAGCCTCCTCCCTTGTCCTGCTCTCCCCTCTTCTTCCCCGTCCTCCTCTTTCCTCTTCCCTCTCCTGCTTCATCCCCCTTTCTCCTTCTCCTGCGCCTCCGCCTCTTTCCCCTCCTGCTCCTTCTTCTCATTTTTATTCTTCTTCTTCTTCTCCTCGCCCTCCTCCTCCTTCCATTCCCATCTATTGACAGCGTATAGTCGGCGGCTCTTCCCTGTCGAACCACACACGTGTCGGTAGGTCGGTCAGGCGTTTCGTCTAAGACTTCCCCAATGCTGATGATCCTGCAAGTAGAATATTGCAACACGTGCGCGGATGGGCGGCGGAGTTTCTCGCATTAACGCCGCGCGCATTCGTTTCTTTTGTTTGTATAGTTTGTGGCAGTTTCAATGGTTGAGGGCGGATTGGTTCGGAAACGGATGTGTCTTCGTTGCGCCGTGCGTGTTCGTTTCACACATATACGGCCTCTAAACTGAAGGAGGGCGGTAAGTCTTCGAAATTAGGCTCTCGCCGTATCGCTGCGCATGTTCGTCTCGCAAGTTCACAGCAGCTTCAAGAGTGGATCACGATGCGTTTTCAAGCTTGGATTTCCGATTCAGCGTCGCGCATCGTGTCTTGAAAGCTTGTAGCGGTGCGTGTATTGGGGAAGGGCGTTCCTTCTTCCGAACGGATCTCGCTGCATAATTATTCGGATTGGACGGCCAGACGTGTATACGCTTGGCACAGCTTCACGGATGCAGGCCGCCTCTTTTTCAAAGAGGGGCGCTCGTTAACACATCTCGTCAAACATTGTGATCGTAGTTTTCGCCTTCTTGGCCCCCCCGCCTTCCTCCTCCTCCTCATCCTGCGCCTGCTCCTCGTCCTCGTCCTCGTCCTCCTCCTCCTCCTGCCCCTCTTCCGTCTCATCCTCCTCCTCCTTCTTCTCCTTTTGCCTCCTTCTCCTCTTCCTCTTTTTCCTCCTCTTCCTCCTCCTCCTCCTCACGAAATTGTTGACGCTTCGCGTATCCCCACCAGCCCATCCAGAAACGATGCTCAGGGGAGTTGAGGTGATCAGGGAAGTCGGGGAGCATGCAGAATAACAAAGGGCGGGGGAAGCTGTCACAGACCCCGAGAGGGGGAGGATGGAAGAGGAATCGTCGTCGTCGTCGTCGTCGTCGGAGGAGGAGGAGGAAGAGGAGGAGGAGGAGGAGGAGGAGGAGGAGGAGGAGAAGGAGGAGAATGAGGAGGATATGGAGTAGGGCGAGGACGAGGAGGACGAGAAGGAGGAGAAGGAGCAGAGGGAGGAGAAGGAGGAGAAGGAGGAGAAGGAGGAGGGGGAGGAGGAGGAGGAGGGAGGAAGATGAAGAGGTGGTTGAGGAAGAGGACGAGGAAGAGGACGGCGAACCGAAGAGCCAGAAGCGTCTTGAATGCCTTGTCGGAAATCCTCTTGAGGCTTCTTGGGGGTCTCTTGGGAGCCTCTTGGAGGCCTCTTGGGCGCCTCTTGGGGACGTCTTGGCGCCTCTTGGGGCGCTCTTGGGGCGCTCTTGGGGGCTGTAGGGGCGCTCTTGGGGTCATCTTGGAGGAGATCGATCAGACAAGAGGGGAGCTCCAATTAGCCTCCCCCCTCGGGAGCCCCACAAATCGCCTCTTGGGCCCCTCTTGGAGCGCTCTTGGAGCGCTCTTGGGCGCTTTGGGGGCCGTCTTGGGGCTCTCTTGGGCCTCTCGTGGGGCCCCTTTGGGCCATCTTGGAGCCATATTGAGGCCTCGGATGTCCGTCGGAAGCGAAAAGGCGAGAAAGCAACAGCCATCGTTTTTTCCCGTAGATTTTGGGACGATTTTGGCCTCGTCGGGGCCTCCTTAGGGAGCTCTTTGGCCACTTGGAGCCGTCTTGGGATCGTGTTGGGGCCTCTTGGAGCATCTTGGGAGCCATTGTGAGCGATCTTGCGCTATCTTGAGCCATCTTGGAGCTCATCCTGGGCTCTCTGAGGCGCTTTTGAAGCCATCTTTGGCCATCTTGGACGCTCCAACGCGCCGCGGCCCCCCCCGTCCAGGTCCAGGGGAGGGGGTAGGGGGAGGGGTAAACCCCTCCCCAAGGGGGAAGAGGGAGGGGTGCAAGAGGATCTGCTCGAGACCACCTACGCCCAGAGGGCTGGTGGGATTCCGAGTTGTGTCGTGTAAGAAAAAACCTGTCTCTCGTTTCAATGGCAGGCCCGCCAGGTGCTTGTATCTTTCGAGCGGGGGCGCCAGGGAGAGCCTGCAGGGACCTGCCTGAGAGCAGGGGCCTTGCCTCTGTGTAGGGACGTGCCTATGAGGGGCATCGTTTGGTCTTCTCGTCTTCTCTCTCTCTCTCTCTCTTTCTCCTCCCTTCTCGTCCCTCCTCCTTGCCCTCCTTTCCTGACCTCCTCCTTCTCCCCCTCCTCGTTCTCCTCCCCTTCCCCTTTGCCCATCTCCTCTCCCTGCCATTCCTCCTCCTCACTTGCATTCTGTGAGTTTCTGTGTGGAATCTGGGCTGACGGCCACGGCACGGCGTAATTTACGAAGGATCGCCAGACGCAGGCATCCATACCTTCAAACGTGCGCCAGCGATCTCGCACTTCGTCGCGTGCGTGTAGTTTTTCGAGGTGGAAGCACGTGATGCCCACTGGTCACTCCGCAGTCATGCTCCTCCCTCCTCAGGCGCTCCCGCACGCGGCGGCGCAGTATCCCTGGGATTCCCGCGTCTCGTGACCACGACTTAGATTCCGGTCGAGACCCAGTGAACGGGTGCCGACCCCCATGGCGAGTTTTTGGAGTGATTTGTCGGAGGGAGGACCCAGATCATTGGACTCGTAAACATTTCAAGGGCGGTTGGAAACCGCCCTTGATTTTTGTTCGCAATTCTCGGCCTCGGGAAACCGTCCCTGGGGCCCCGGGACCGACGGAAAATCACCCCAGACGAGTGCCTGTCCCGGGGAAAACGTGGAGAGCTCCAGGAGCTCCAGGGGCTGGCTCCAGAGAGTCTCAGAGTCGTTGATACCGGGAGGACGCGCGGTAGGGGCCCAGGTGGACCAGGAGGTCACAACATGGCCCCAAGACGGCCCCGAGAAGCTCGCGAGATGGCCCAGGAGGGCCTTCTCCGACTCCTTCGCCTCGTTCCTCCCTCCTCCCTCGATGCCATCCTCCTCCTTCTCCTCCTCCTCCAACTTCTCCTCCTACTCCTTCTCCTCCCTTCTCCTCCTCCTCCTCCTCCTTCCTCTTCGTCCTCCCCCTCCGCCTCCTGCACAGGGGCAATTTGAATCCCCCCCTAACACGGCGCTGATAGAGATGCTGATATTATGTATGATGGAGACGATGATGCTGCTGATAATGGGGATGATGCTGATGTTGATTATTATGATGATGCTGCTGATGATGATGCTCATGATTATGAGGTTGATGATGCTGATGACGATGCTGATGACGATGATGGT